CTTTGATACAATCAGATGAATGAAATATGAGGGGAAAATGGAATTACTTTCTCACTACATAACAATATTCCAGTATGCCTCCTTGGGAAAACACCAGAACAGTATGCATAAGTGTATGATGAAATCTATCCCTTACGGTTCATGATAAAAATAGCCACCATTTGAGAGCATCCTTGGTCCAGGCACTGTGATAACTTCTATACATCCTCATCCCATTTTCTCCTGATAACTGCAGGTAACTAACGCTCACTATAACTCTAGGTATCATTAGCCCCATGTTGCAGATGAAGAAACTGAGGCAGAGCTGGCCAACTTGAAGTTACGCAGATGTCGGAATTTATTCCAACACCCATCCCTTTCACCTCTACAGTCATCGTGTAAAATAAATATGCCTGGACTAGGGGTTATTTCATGAGCCACAGAAGCACAGATTCCATACTTCATTTCCCCCAAAGGAAAAGTCTCCCTGACAGAAAGTGGCACAACACCCACATCAACGCCCCATGGTCTGGTCCAGCCAGAGCTGCAGCTCCTGGGGACTGCCTGAAGGAGGCCCCTGAGCTCCCTGCAAATCTGCTCAAGGAGAAGAGCCTAGCATGAAAAAGGCTAATGTAATCCCTTCCTGGACCCCAGAGACAGTCCTGCAACAATTCAGGTTTTGGAATTGTTGAATTCAATTATTACGGGAGTCCAGATAATCCTTTTATGAGTTCCTACCAGAAAAACTGGATAATGGAATTTTGCTGGGACAGAGTCACAAGAAAACAAAATTCTTCCAGGTTCCTGACACAGTTGGCTCCACATGGCAGAGGGCAAAAGCAAAAATGCCTTGGATAAAAACCACATGAGAAACAGGATGTGATATGCTCAGACTAAAGCTGGGAAGGGACACTCAATCTGCTCTTCAGACAAGATGCTGGCAGAACACCAACATCTCCATCCCCGATATGAAGGTGATTAAGGGCTGGCTTTGATGGAGAAACTAACAACCTAGCTGGAGAGACAAGGAATGTGCACCAGAAGAGTAAAACAAACCCAGAACAGTGCTGGGAGAAATAAGGGCCAGATAGAGATGGGAACAGCAGGAAGGGGAATTGGGAGTGGGGAGTGGGGGAGGCATCCTGGCAGGGACCAGAGCAGGGCCAAAGGTTCAGGACAGGAAAAGGTTCCTGTCCGTACAGAAAACCCAAGTAAACTTTTTTTGACTAGATGAGAAGATGAATCCAGGGAAATAACAGAGCGAGTCAGAGGGCAGCAAGGTAAGAGAAGGCCTCTGAATGCCACATCAAAACATTCAGTTCAAATGCATGAACTGTGTAAACACATAAGATTCTTAGCAAGTATTGCTGGTGAACGGGAGTGAACTTACTGTTTTTCAGTCCTAAGTCTTGGATATCAGTCTTCCTGGTTCCAATGACTGAACTCTCTGTCCAGGAGCAGGGATTCAAAGAGCTCTGTCCAGCACTGTTCTCAACCTATCTGTCCCAGGGTTCAAATATGTAATAATCACATGCAATCTGGTGCTTAATGCGAGTTGAGTTCTTATATAGGGGTAAACGCTTAAAAAGAATATTAATACCCCGACAAGTTTACGTGCAAGAATTAGTTTTCTATTTTAAAATATCATGCAAAGTAAACTTGACTTTTCCTTGTCAAACTAAAAGGATGAGTGAATCCTCTTATAAAACTCCTTTTAAAAAAATTCCACCCCTGCCTAAGCTCAAATGATGGGTTCATTTACAAAAAACCCAGTGATTTAGTCAGAGATACCAAATACCCCTGAATATGAGTTATCTGAGATTACTCTGTGAACAGGTCAGCCAGGCAAGGCCTCAAACCAGTACTGGGCATTTCAGGAGGCAGTGTGCACACTTGTGGTTTTGTGGTCTTCAACTGTCCTGCCAACCTAGATGACTCTGGGTGGACAAGGACCATCTGGTGACAGTGTGCTGCCTGGCTCAGCAGAATCCAGCACAGGAAAGTCTCCACCCCCAAGAGATGCACTCCCTGCCGATATCTCACTGCTAAGGCTGCTCCCACCCTTCCAGGACCCTGACCAAAGACCCTGGCCAGGCGTATTTTTCAACTGATGACCAATATTCTCCAGCTGGTTTAATTTGTGACTCGGAAGGAAAAGGCACAAAGGGAAAACTTTCTATTTATCTATGTTTAGTACTAAATGGAAGCAATTCGATGACATAATGTATGGTGTTACAGTCACATATGTCCTTCTAGCCTATAATATCTATGGATCCCGTCCATATTTTTCTCAAAGCTCCTCTTCAAAGCACCCAGCCTGCACCTGGCCACCTAGTTTACTGTAGGCACGCAGTAACTGTTTGCCCACTTGAACAAAATGATAGTAGAGTATTAGAGGAAGCTGAAACTCTCAGGGAGAGATCACCTCTCACAGGAGCTGGAAATCCACTGCCTATATTCAGGGCAGCCATGCTGGCACTGGCAAAGAGCCAGAAACAGTGTGCTCAGAGCTGGCTAAACACAGTGACAGTGGGACTGTGGAGGGTCACAGAGAGAGGGAAGGCCTCAGGCCTGACGACCAAGGGAGCAGGAAAGTTTGGAGAAGCACAACTGTCCCACAGAATCAGAATGCCACTCCATCACCCTGCTCCTGGAGCTGCTGGTGGAGCCACCAGCACCCACCTCCCTGCCAGTACATTGGACAGAAAGGCAGAGGAGCTCCAAGAGCCACTTCTCAGTGTCTCTCAAGATGTGGGAGCAATCTTAGGACAAATCAGGTCTGGATTCTTCGAGTCTGAATCCTTTCTAGGTCCGGTATCTATCATCACAGGGTCACATTCCTCTGCTCCTCTAGAAGACGAAGTTACTGAACACCAGCATAATCCTGGCAATTCATAAGCGGGAGAGCCTTGACAGTGCACAGACGTGAATAAAAAAGACCCAGCAGCTGCCCTCATGGGGGCAACACAATCCAAGGGCCACAAGGAGGCACCATCAAGACCTGACCCCAGGCCTTATGCAGATACTACTGCTCACTCCCCCAGCAATGTTGCCTGGCAGGATTATGTCAGGTGACCAGCCAAGGAAAAGAGAGCCCACCCAAACCATCTACCCAACTTCAGAGACCCAACTGCTCTCCTGCCACTAGGGCTGGTCAGAAGTATCTGTTCCTGCTCCCATCCTGCACTTCCCCGTTGGAGGTCTACAGGCTCTGCCTCCTGATGTCACTCAAAGCTGCTCACCTAAAAGACCACAAAGTGATCTGTCCTACACTAAGGTCTGTGCACAATTCTTCAACAATTTCCCTTCCACTTCCTTCTAGATGAACTCTCACCTTGGTTGCCTGGCATTAAAAAGCTCTCGTTTCTGCCTCCTGCCCACCTCTGCAGCCTCATCTCCCTCTGCTGTCCCCACAGTTTCCCAAAGAGATGGGTTCTCCCTCTTTCTACTATTTTGTCCTGAAAACTACTCTTCCCCTGTTCAGGCCCCCATTTGGCTGCTGAGTAGTTGAGACCCTCCACCACAGAGAATGGCCAAGGCCCAGAGAGCCTGAGCCCAACCCACAAATGGCCACTGAATCAACGGATTAAAGGACAGACTGCTGAGTGAGAGCAAGCCCTGAGGCCCAATGCTCTGGACCCTCCAGGCTGCCTCAACACCTGGATTAGAGGTGGCCTATCTAGGGCTAGTGGGAGGGTGCATTGCTTAGTTGAATTAGGAGCCTTACTCCAGGAAACCCATAAACTTGAAAAATCCCAGCTGGGGTGTAAACTAGTAGGCCCTCCAGTTTCACCTACCCTTCATTCCCTGAATGTCCTAAATCCTCAATTAAGACTCGACACTTGATCCCGTGGCCCTTGGAGTGCTCAGGTCCCCAGCACCTCCGGGGACAGCCAGGGGAGGGGGGGAGGGGCACCGTCTAGCTCGCACGCCTCTGGGCAGTCCATTTTCAACGAAGAGAACTATTAATAACAGATCCAGAAAGGCCCGACACTTGCCCCCGTGGCCCAGCGAGGGCCGTGAATGCCCAGGTCCCCAGCACCTCCAGGGGCGGCCAGAGGGGCACCGTCTAGCTCGCAAGCCTCTGGGCAGTCCATTTTCAACGAAAAGAACTAACAGACCCCAGAGTCCAGAATGCCTCTTGGTGCTTAAGAGTTTTCCTGACGTAATCTTTACCTAGCAGGACGAGGAGACCCCGTCCCGCGACACAGGCAGGCTGGAATTCCCTCCTCCCTTCTTTATCACTCCCGGGCCCGGTCCGAGGCATCCGACCCGTACCCACAGCCTCCCCTCCACCCTCCCGGCCAGGCCGCCTGCAAACGCCGGAGACCACTTAACCCAGAAGCGACGGTCCCGCCCATCCAGTTCAACTCCGAGCTCGGGGGACTACGGACCCTCTGACCCATCCTGGAGCCGCGGGGGTCAGAGGGCGCATTTTTCGCCACCCCACCCCACCCCATCCCGGAAAGAAGGAGCAGAACGAGTCCGGCTGCGGACGAGACCAGGAGAGCGCAGGCGGGGCGGTCCACCTGGCAAGGGACCGCCAGGACACCACCAGGCCAGCTTGGGGCGTCGCGAGGAGCGGGCGGCAGAGGAAAGAGCCCCTCCCCCTTCCCGCTCCGGGCCCCGCCTGGCCTCTGGGCCCCGAGGCGCAGCTGTCCAGAAGGAAGGGGGGCGCAGGAACAGACAGAAGAGAGGACACTCACTTAATAGGCTACATAGTTTCATTCCTTGCTCTTTCCGGAGCAGCGGCGACACCTCCCGGGCCCTGGGCTCGGACCTCAGTACCCAATACCCCGGCGCAGCAGCTCCACTCCACCGCCCACCCTCTTACTCCACCGTTGGGCGGAGCCGCACCTCAAGGACCAGGGTCAACCCAATGAGCGATCCTCTTTATTCAGAGTGACGTGAGCGCAGAGCAATCGTTGAGTCCGCCCAGCAGGGGGCGGGGCTCAGGCCGCGCACTGCGCTTCCTACTCAGGCTGAACCAGCCCAGAGCTACCGACTGCGCGTGCCCGGAGCAGGAGGGGGCGGAGCCGAGAGCAGATCTGACACTAGGGAAGGGGTCTAAGCTCGGTCTCTGGAAAGCGCCTGGACCCAGATGGGGAGAGACGGGAGCCATCCCACACTGTGGATCGCCCTTTACTGCTAACTTTGGAGGATGGAGGTGCCCAATCCTATGAGGCACACCACTCCCGTCGCAGGCAGGGTCTGGGAGTCAGGGTCCCTAGGTTCTAGCGCTCTCACTTGCAGGGATGTCGCGTGACCCAGGCCCTCTTTTTTACCTGGGCCTCAGTTTCCCCACCCGTAAAATAGAGGAGGGTTAGATCTGCCGAGCGCTAATATTCCAGAACTGCAATGGGTACGGAGGAGGGGGAGATGGGGGACCCACACGTGACCTCCCCGCGCGGGGCCCCGCCTATCCCTTGTCCAGGGGATGGAAGCGCCCTGCGAGGACGGGCGGGGTTGGGTGGATCCTAAGAAACGCAACCCGGCCGCCCTTGGCAGCGGCTAAGGCTGAGCGCGTAGCTCGGCAGCAGGCTAGCCCTGGCGACCGCACCACAGAAGGATGGGGACCGCAACCCAAGCATCGCAGGGGGCCACCGTGGAAGCGAGGGTGGTGCAGAGAATCCGCGTGTGATTCGCAGCGTATCTGGGGAGGATGGACGAAGGGACGGGAGGCAGCTAACGGGGCTCCCTCTCCGCTCCCGGTCTTCGGAGGTGCACGTCGCGGGTCCCAAGCGGGCTCCGTCGACAGCACCGCAGCGCCGAGCTAGTCTTGGGCCATGAGGAGCGTGCCGGAGGCCTGGCCCGGGGCCGCCGTCGGGGCTGGCCGCGTCCTGCCGCGTTGAAGGCGTGAGGCCAAGAGGGGCGCAGGCTCCCAGGCTGCGCGGTAGCGCACCGCCATGGCGAGGGAGGAGTGCAAGGCACTGCTGGATGCGCTCAACAAGGCGACTGCATGCTACCATCACCTGGTGCTAACCGTCGGCGGCTCGGCAGATTCGCAGAACCTGCGTGAGGAGCTGCATAAAACGCGCCAGAAGGCACAGGAGCTGGCGGTGGCTACCGGCGCCCGGCTGACGACCGCACTGCGCGACCGGGGTCTGGGCGCCGAAGAGCGCGCTGAGTTCGAGCGCCTCTGGGTGGCCTTCTCCGGCTGCCTGGACCTGCTGGAAGCCGACATGAGGCGCGCGCTGGCGCTGGGCACCGCGTTCCCGCTGCATGCGCCGCGGCGGCCGCTTGTGCGCACGGGCGTGGCGGGCGGCGCGGCGGGCGTGGCGGCGCGTGCCCTAAGCGCCCGCAGCCTGCGGCACGAGGCAGAGCGCGACTTCGTTGTGGACGACCTGCAAGAGCTGGAGCGGGAGATCCGTCAGGTGGGCGAGATGATCCACGACATGGAGATGAAGGTCAACGTGCCCCGCTGGACTGTTCAGGCCCGGCAGGTGGCGGGCGCCGAGCTCCTGTCCAGCGCCGGTGCCTCCTCGACGGGCTTTGTGTCCATAGAAGAGCGCACAAGGCCCTGCGACCTGAACAAGGCCCTGGCCGCTACCGTTTTCAGCGCCGTGCTGCTGGCGGCTGTGGCCCTGGCGGTGTGCGTGGCAAAGCTGAGCTGACACCAGACGGTCCCCCGCCACCACCTCTCCTTCCCCAGAGACACCCCTTCCAGAATGACCGCTATGGCCAGACTCAGATGGGAGTGGGATCTGGCTTGTCTAAGGGAATTGGTTCTAAAACCCCGCGTGTGTAGGTGTACACGCGTGTTTCAGGCTCACGCCTGCCTGGGCAGAATGTGGTTTCCTCTTGCTGGACGGGTAGGAGTTAATTTTGTGCGGGGCCGCTAGGGCATTATCACTAATGTATGCAGGAGCTTTATCCCCTATTAATAGAAAACCATCCACAGTGACCCCAGATTCCTCTGAGTTAATGGGTTACCGCGTGTGCTGCTGAGGCATGTTTACACTGAGCCCCAGCTTGGTGCCCCCATCCCTAATGGAAACTCCCACTCTGAATGGGGCAGTTTGAAAAAGGGAATGAGGTGAAATGAAGTGTCGAGAGGGGGGCTGTTTTGCTGGGATAGGGATGGTTTTCTTTCTTCCTGGACAGGAGGCAAATTGCAACAAGATATAAGCATTTTTTTTAATTACCTTAATCCTTTGGGACCTAAGGTTAGGAGTGTGCAAATAGAAGTTCATGCAAAGTGCTTTCTCGATGGCACAGGACTGAGCTTCTTGGCAGAGCTTATCCATTAGTCACGAAAAGCAGCCCAAGAGGTTTGGGGTCGTGCCCTCTCGCGCAGGGTCTGACTGCGTAGGAAACCAAAGTAGTGCTGTAGGACCTGCCCTCAGGGGTTTGGAGTCACTGCATACACTGACTATTTAAACAGGCTCTCCCCAGCCAGCCTTGGAGGGGTACAAGCTTTGGGAAGGGCCACATTACTGTTTAAACAGGGACTTTCTCCTTCACTGGGGCTTATTTTTGTTCCAGAACTAGACCAGAGATTTTGATCCTCCTTTGGGGGAGGATTGGGGAATCCTCTTTGGAGCCCTTAATCCTATCTATCCCTTGGAATTTGCTTGCTGGCCAGTAGGAGAGCTGGCTTTGGAAGGAGCTGCACAGCTCTCTGACCCGGACACTGCCCTCTGAGAGGGTATAGTGGCATCACTGGCACACAGTTTTGAGCCAGTTAGCACTGAGACTGGGTTAGAATGTAGCAGCTTTAACTTGGAATTTAAGAAGCTTTTTAAAAGTAACAGTCATATGAATTAAAAATTGCATAACCACACTGTGTATTATCAAAGCTGGGTTTTTTGTTTTGTTTTTAAGATTTTATTGGGGAATTGGGGGAGGGGAACAGTGTTGGGGAATCACGGAAGGGGAACAGACAAGTTGCTGTCCTTTTGTTCTTCAGTCTAGTTGTAGAGGACGTCGCTTCACTGGCCCATGTTGGTATTGTGATCATTGTGCTCTTCCCGGCTGAGGCACATCGGTCGCCGACCAATGGCCATTGGTTGGCTGCTCACGGCAGCTCGTGCTGTCTCCTGGCTGCTCACCCTGGCTGCCGGCCACTCTTGGTAGCTTATGGCAACCCACTGCAGCCTATGCCCGTTGGGCGACTCATGGCAGCCCAGCTCCAGGTCGAGCTGTTGTTCACCATCTTAGCTATAGAGGGCGCAGCGTCACTGGCCCTCATGTGGGATCCGAACCGGGGCCCTGCTGCTCAGAGCTGGCTTCCCAAGCCAACTTTTAACCAATGCGCCACTCGGCTGGCCCTGTTTTTGTTGTTGTTGTTGTTGTTTTTATAAAGGACATTTGGCCACGAATTTAATGCGTGCCAATGAGTCAAACATAGCAGTCTTTACTTATATACTTTGGTTACTAAATATACATCTGCATCTATTTTTGAAACCAATCTTCTTGAAGGCAGGAGGTCATAGCAAAAACTATTGGAACCACAGATATAGATGACAGAAATTAAGTGGCCCCTGCCTCTTTTGGTCAATAAATAAGGAAACGTGGAAAACACCCTGGGTTCCAGGCTGGAATTTGCCTGAACAGTGCTGCCACCTCCAATCTATGGTCTAGAGAGAGCATCTGTTGAGAAAAGAGATGCATTTAACTCTAAAGTTAATAATTTAGAATAAAACTCAGTCTTTGGTTTGGCTGAAAACTGCAAGGATTATTATTATTTTTTCTTTTTTACGCTAAAAGGGAGAAAGGAGACCAAGAGGACGGAATTGGCAGTTTTTCACAAGGGCCAAGGGACAGAGGCAAATAGCAGGAATGCTGTCTCGGCACCCAGTCCTCCCAGCCCGGGCCACCCTCCCAGCCCAGTCCACTCCCATTCCTCAGCACACAGGCTCCAGTACCTTAGAATATGAGACCTGTTTGCATGTGTCTATGATAATGGTTTTAGAATACCCACAAGGTCTTAAGCTGATTACAGATTTTATGACAATAACTAATTGAAAGCAACCCCTGCCTCATCCAGTCTGGGAGAACCTGAGTAGGGGCCAACATCAAATTCTTTTGCATCTGACTGCTCAGGGTACCTTCAAAGATGGCAAAGTTGTCTAACTCTCCTCCTTTTGTCACACGCAACATGGAATCTCTGTCACCTTCCCCAAAGTCTCATCTCAGGCAAGACGAGGCTGGGGCATTTAGTGACACAGTGTTGGAAAATATTCCTAAAAACCAAGCCCTAAATAGATTGTTTCCTTTCTATGACTGTGACTCTCTCTTCTTATTAAGGTGTTTTGGTTCATGAAAGAAGGAATTGTTAAGCACAACATGTTCAAGAAACAACCCATCAGAAGTTGTGTAATCCATAGAGAGCAATCAGGACAAACAAATTTCTTTGTTGTCACTCCACCCACTTGGCAGATAGATCCTTGTGTAGTTATCATGTGTGCAGTCAGAGGTGTTCTTGATTCCAAGAGTCCTCTGCTCACTGAAATTAGTGATAAAATATTGCAAAAAAAATGCTGAATTATAATAAACATTTATTCTGTGGTCCTGTTAACGTAAACAACTCGGAGTTCGAAAATTTTAAACATTAGGAATATTTTGCATTATTTGGAGTTATAACATTGCCTAATAGAACTTTTGCCATGTGATGCAAGCAAAATCACTTTGTGCTTGAGCAATAGCCTGCTCTCTCTCTCTCTACTCTCATTTCTATATATAATTCAAGAGATTGCTTTCTGATAGAAGCCTGATTCAATTTAGATGTTTGATGTCCAAGTTATTAATTTTCTAAAAACATTTGATATGATGTTATACCGTAATACATGTGAGAGAAAATTAAACAAAATGTTTAATGTGGAATTTATATGAAGAGGTCAATGTTTAAGTCTATGACAGAGAAAATCTGCTGTCCCAAATTAAAGGTACAAGTTAAAGGATAGATCTTTGCTTCCAAAGTAAAATACTATTATAACTCTCTTGTGAAGTTAAATACCTGTAACATCATTGGCTTCTCTTTTGGGAAAACAGCACACCTTTATCTGATATTGACAAGAACTTGGAATTTCAAGGCACTTATCATGGGAACTTTGAACTGTTGCTATGAGTTAAAAAAAGAAAAAGAAACCAAAAAAAACCAAACTGATAATATTTGTAGGAGAAAAATGCCTGCTGGCAAATTCCTTTTTATGTGCTCTAAGAACTTATACTTTTAAATGCCACAAGGGAAAATATTATTGGTAAATAAAATTAGAGCATAAGCTTCATGATTTACCTAAGGTTTACAGTAAGCTGCATAAGAGATGTGTGATGTCGAATGTGTAAAAAGTAGTTTTGTTTGAAGAGAGTTGTGGTTGGCACGAAGATGCTGATAACGTTGCGTTTTCCTTTTCAGTGTGCACATTGATGTGTTTTTAGCTATTTGGTTGCTTTTCAGGATGTAGAGCTCTGTTTTGTATTGAATGCTTGTTAAGGGTGTGAGCCCCAGAATGTGAGCCTGTATGTCAGTCTGAGAAATAAAGTGCTATAGGCCTGGCCTCTGCATTCCTTTAGGATGTGCCTCCCGGGGCAAGGCCTGAGCAGCTGCAATGGTGGAGGCTCTGCCTCTTTCTCCAAGCACCTCAGACAAGTCATTGACCTCCCTGTGCCTCACTTCCCTCATTTGTGAAATGGGAGGGGTCCTGACTAACTCAAAGGTCCCTTCCAGAGCTTAAAACATTTTAACAGAATGCAGTTAAACAAGAAAGAGTTGTTTGTTTGGATTTTTTGGGGGGTGCATATTGAAATGGAATCTTACAGTTTGGTGGTGATTGTCTAAAATTAGTCTGTTGGTAAAATTCCATACGAATTTTAAAAATCAGAATGAACTAAGCTTACTGTGATTTTAGTCCATCAGAATTAGTGGATGGACTTGAAAGCAAATTTGTGTAAATGCTACTTATTTATAGTATTTAAATTAGATTAGGAATTTAAATTCAGACTCGTCTAAGTCCAAGAAAGCCTAGTATTTATTAAAAAGTTTCTTGCATCCAGCAGTCAGACCACCTAAACTGATTCTGAGAAATTACTGTGAAAACTTGTCATTTGTCATGGAGGCTGGGAGAATCCTATTCTGTAAGTAACCTGGTGCCCTCAAAACTGTAACTGCATTGGCTGCCTGATTGATGTCAGAGAACCTGAGCACAACATGCATTGTTTTATATGTGGCATCAGGTCCAAGGTGGAATTAAAAGGTTTGGGTCTACTGTTTGAATGACACTTCTAACTAAAATGTTTATTAATAAGTAAAAAATTAAAGACAACATGCAACATTTATAACTTAGTTGGAAAAGGCACCCTCAAATGATTCCGTTATCAATGATTGTGATTAAAAAAAAATTTGGGGGGGGAACATTTGAGATCTTGCTCCCCTCCATATGTCATCAGTTGGACTCAAATAAACTTACAAAATTTCAAAAAAAAAATTCTTAATCTTCTTTATGCACTTTTGACGTGAATGTCCTGATCAACCCATTTACCCTTCACAGATTTCATTACATAAAGAGATGTTCAGAAATACTCCAGGATTATAAATCTCCAAGTGCTTTTTTACAATACCATTCTATTAATCGTTTAACACAGGATGGAATCTGGGAAGAATAGTATGACTCCACATGAACAATATTTGGCTGTGGTCAACACAGATCAAAGTCATATTCAAATACTGTTTCTTTGACCAAAAGGGCAGAAACTGACCACACACTGCAGCCCTATCCATGAAGACCAGACGGATTTCTGGAAAAGCATTCCTTTCTTTAATTTACTTATTTTCATCTCATTCCACAGAGGATTTGGGTTTTCATTGCAGTTCTGTAAGATCTTGGGCATCCTTGTTCTTTGGTGTGTAAGGTAGAATTGTATAACCTTAAGGCTTAAATGACAGATGTAAATAAGCCAAATGAGAGCTCCTGTTGGCAAAATGATTCTGAAGAGTCCTTTTAATATGTTGTTGCTAGGAGGCAAAGTTGAGTGTCTCCTGTTTGTATATATGTTTTAGGCATATAGAAAATATCTATAAGGCAATGTACGGAAATGAAAATATTTGTTAAGGTGGTGGGAGTATGAATGGTGTTTTTTCAATATTTTTATTAGTGTCATAATGTTTTTACAATAAAAATTTGAATGCGCTTAACACCTAGAAAATGTTATTAAAATATACATTTTAACAGCTAGGGTCTCAATTGTAATGAGAAACAATTTCAGGACCTTCCCCCCAAAAGCAAAGCAAAAACACGTTTGGAATCTTAACCCAGGGAATCAGAAACAAGTTTTGAAATATGGTGTCAAGACAGAATAGCACAGAGGTTAAAAGCACTGCCTATGAATAAGGTCCACCTAAGTTCTGATCTGATCTCATTAAATAAGTTCCTTAATATCTCTGACCTCAGTTGCCTTGTCTTTTTTTTTTTTTTTTAGCTGAGCCATCCTGCTATCTATTGGCAGCTTAGCGGCTGCTCAGCTCGGGCTGGCCTCGAACCGCTGTTGCTCAGAGCTCAAACTCTTGAGCGAGCTCTTAACCAACTGAGCCACTCGGCCGGCCCCTCAGTTGCCTTGTCTTTACAATGGGAGTAATAATAGGGTAAACTTCATAAGGATGTTGAGATAAGACTTCTTTCCAGGCACAGGGCTCAATAAATGTTGGTTGCCACTGCTGTGATTATTTATTATAATACTTTAGAGGTCTGAAAAATGGCATGGTTGACAAAAGAACCAATATATATGAAAACATTTTACTTTCTGTAACAGGAAAAATTTGCAAAAAATCAATTTGAAGATTAAAACTAGATAAACTTGTCAAATGAGAGATGGTATGTAATATAAAAGTCAAGGTTACAGAGGGAAATTCATGTGGATGCAGAAGTTGGAATCCATACATTTGTAAAGTCAAATTTATTGAGGTATAATTTACATACAGTAACATTCACCTTTCATAGGTGTGCAGTTTTGAGTTTAGACAAAGGTATACAATGTAACCCTCCCCCCCACCATCAAGCTATAGAATGTTCCCGTCGCCCCCCAAAAGTTCCCCATGTCCTTTCCTCCCACCCCAGGCTCTGTCAACTACTGATCTGATTTCTGTCCCTATAGTTTTGCCTTTTCCAGAATGGCACATAAATGGAATCCATATACTTTTGAGAAAAACAACGTTGTGAACCTTTTAAAAACCCTTCTCAAAAAATGGTTTTGAGAAATCATTTTTATGTGGTGATTTTTGGTGTATGGGATGTGACTGGTCATTCATAGGCGGATTTTGTTTTCATGGCAGTGACGTGCCTTGGCTTCCAGGCAGGTGGAACAGACTCTCCTTTTACTGTTGAGTCTCCAAGCCGAAGTCATCTCTCCATGGTTAGTCCTGCAGGTTGCTTCTCTTCCTTTCTTTTTCACATGAAAAACCTGATAAATAATGGATAACAGAAATGAATTGGGGCTCGCTGAATAAGAGACTAAAATAAAGGCCCACTTGGAGCTGTAGGTAAGAAGCAACATGTTTGTGACCATTTTTTAGGATTATGCATATGCTAATAATTCAAATAAGGAAATTTCTTATTGTAAAGATAGCTGGAAAGGACCAGTAGAACATAAGAATGAAGTTTCAACTGTCGTTAGCTATGAAGTAAGCAACTGTTGTCATCAACAAAGTAATTGTCTTGTGACCAAATGGCACTTGGTAATTGCTAGCACTAGTAGGGGAAGGCTGTGTGTATTTACTGTCAGGATAGCGGGCACTGGGCCCTTGGCAGAACAGGGCTGGACAGGGCACTCTGAGAACATGCCGATAGGTTTGGTGACAGATTGTAACCCTTGCTGGCTGTAGGACCTTAAATATAAAAAATCACAGTGAACTGTTTTTTTATATCTCTTGCCCATTTTTTCTACACAATTGGAGGTTTTCCCTTTTACTAACGTAATCTTTTGCAAACAGGTGTTACAGATAATTTTTCCAGTTTTTTTAATATCTTAGACAATCTTCTGGTGTTTTTGTCATAATAGTTATAAATAAGAATAGAAAGTATATCATTGTTTAGCCATGTGACTGAGCCACTGTACACATGGATACCCCAGTCCTCAATTAAGCCCTGGCTGACCTGCTGGCCACAATCTTATGGAAGATACTGAATCAGAACCACTTAGCTAAGATGCTCTTAAATTCCTGATCCACAGAAACTGAGAATGTTCATTTTTTAAGCCACCGTTTTTTAGAACAATCTGTTAATAACAATAGATAAGCAATATATCCATAAATTAATTTTTCCTATGAGCAGACACATTAGATTTGAATATATTTCTATCCTTTTTGCAGCTCAGGGTTTGCTCTTTGCTTCTGTTCTGGTTCTTGGCTACAGTTCCAATAAGTGAGGTTACAGGATGTGATCTCTGGATACATCCATAAAATGGTACTGCACCACTTTGCTATACACTCCAGGCCTGGTCATCACATTCAGGAGTGGCCAGCCTTTGGGAAAACCAGCTGATATACAAATCAACCTTTATACCTATGAAACCATGGTGTTGTTTTACAGTGAAGAGTGTGTCCTTTCTTAAGGTACTTAACCCCTTTAACTCCTTTGTGAATGATTTTTCATCTGTAAAATGGCAATAGCTATTTCCACCTTATAGGATTTCGTGAGGATTATACTGCTAATACAAAGTTCCTAGTGTCTCACTCATTATAAGTGCTTAGTAAATATTAGTATTATTACTCCCAGGATTGAAGGACTGCTATTTCAATCTCCCTAGAGCTTCCTTCTTCTCCCTTGCTCTGCATATTCAACCAATTACTTCATTACATCAAGTCTATCTCCTAAATACTCTTTTTTTTTTTAAGATTTTTATTGGGGAATTGGGGGATGGGAACAGCGCTGGGAAATTGGGGGAAGGGGAACAGACAAGTTGCTGTTGTTTTGTTCTTCAATCTAGTTGTGGAGGACGTCGCTTCACTGGCCCAAGCTGGCACCATCATTGCGCTCTTCCCAGGTGAGGCACATCAGTTGCCGGCTTCTGGACGGCCGCTCACGCTGGCTGCTGGCTACACACGGTAGCCCATGGCAACCCACTGCAGCAGGGGCTGCAGCCTAAGCCGTCGCCGGTGACTCAGGGCAGCCCAGCTCCAGGTAGAGCTGTTGTTCAGCATCTTAGCTGTGGAGGATCCGAACCAGGGCCCTCTGGCATCCCAAGCCAGTTCTTAACCATCACGCCAGTCGCCCGGCCCCTAAATACTCTTTAAATCATTCCCTTCTCCCCACCTCACACCCTTTCCACAGTCACTCTCCTAGTTTAGGCCCTCATTGTTTCGTGCCTAGTACATTCCATGGGTCTCCAGTCCAGCCCCATTCAATTGAGTTTCCATGCTGCTGTCAGTGTGACCTTTGAAGATATGCATTTGATCATGTCACTGTGACCGAATTCATGGCTTCCCATGGCTCATAGCACTAGAATGACCTGGGAGTGGGGAGTTGTTAAAAATAAAGGTTCCAGGGTTCCACCCCAGAATCTACAATAGATTCTGAGACAATGTGCCACAGGAAAGCGATTCAAAATGTTTAACTTTCATGTCATTTTGACTTTGGGGAAGAGCCAGAAGTCACATGGTGCCAGATCCGGTGAATAAGGTAGGTGAGGACACACCATAATGTTTTTATTTTATTTTTAATTTATTTAAAAAATTTATTGGTGAAGAGTGTGTTTTTCCAGGACCCATCAGCTCCAAGTCAAGTAGTTGTTTCAATCTAGTTGTGGAGGGCACAGCTCACTAGCCCATGTGGGAATCAAACTGGCAACCTTGGTGTTATGAGCACTGCGCTGTAACCAACTGAGCCAATGGACCGCCCCCATAATATTTTTGCTTTTGAATTATAATATCTATATATTTTAATGATTTTATTGGGGAAGGGAAACTGTGTTTTTCCAGGACCCATCAGCTCCAAGTCTAGTCACTGTTTTCAATCTAGTTGCGGGCGGGGGGAGGAGGAGGGCAGCCCACCATCCCATTGCAGGAATCAAACCAGCAACCTTGTTGTTAAGAGTATGGGTTCTAACCAACTGAGCTATCTGGCTGCTCACCGGCAGCTCAGCTCAAGTCATTGTCTTCAATCTAGTTGTGGAGGGTGCAGCTCACTGGCCCATGTGGGAATCGAACCGGCAACCTTGTTGTTCAGAGCACATGCTCTATCCAATTGAACCACCTGGCCGCCCCATGTTTTTATTTGACAGAAATTGCCATACCAGAAGCAATGTGTGTGACACGGAGTCTTTCTGTTGTGATCACAAAATACAGTGAATGCTGCTGCCAAGTGGCATCCAACAGAAAGGCAGGGATCATCAATATGTGAGGTGGTGCCTCAAACCTTAGTTACAGTGTGTGACAAGTGTTAACTTGTTCAGTGCACAATTGGGTGCGAGCTATGGTTGAGAGGTGTGCTTTAAAGTGTACTGTAAATCATCCTCCATTATGACAACGCTCCACGTCACACATGGCTTCTGGTATACAGCAATTTCTGTCAAATAAAGACATTATGGCGTGCCCTCATCCACCTTATTCACCAGTGCCTGCACTGTGCAACTTCTGGCTCTTCCCCAAAGTCAAAATAATTCAGGACATGGAGGCAGTCACGACAGCGCACTAAAGACACTCATGACAGAGGACTTCCAGAACTGCTTCAGAAAGTGGCAAGAATGATGGGATAAGTGTGTTCGAAGTGAGAGGGATTGACAGCAATGTCATTTACTGTAATAAAAATTTTTTTTTTACTTAAACATTCACCATATTGTTTGACCACCCCTCATATTACAGCCACTAAAAATGTGAAGCGGGGCCAGCCCAGTGGCGCGATGGTTAAGAACTGGCTTGGGATGCCAGAGGGCCCCGGTTCGGATCCCACATATGAGGGCCAGTGACGTTGCCCTCTG